GACATTTTTCCGAGATCTTTTCTGTATTTATTTCTTCTACTAATTGTGGTAAAAGTAGAAATCTCAATTAAAAAGGATCTATACAATTTAAATCGTTATGGTGAAAATTTTGAAATCAGACTACATGTTGAAACGATACGTTTACTTGAATTCGAAAATTCTATAAGCAACTGAAACAAAGAACATATCGTTCTTCCAAATGTTTTGCGAAATTGTTACATGAGAAAGGAGTATTGAAGGTGAAGTCGAACGCACATGTCAACTGGTAGATTGTGTGCATATAAGACTCAGAGATATAACAAAATGACTTTCACTTTTTCTTAGCTTTAGAAAGAGTAAGAAGAAATGTTAAGCTCTCTATACAAAATAGTACAATTAAGAGGACGATTTACTTCGAAATTCTTACCTGTATGTATATACGTATGTTTTTTCATATCGGATTTTTGATGAAAACGTTTTCCACAATAGGAACATGAATAGGGTCGTGTATCAGAATGAATAAGTAAATGTGTGGATAATGTTGAAGAACGTTTGAAACATTTGAAACATGTTTTACATTGAAAACACCGTTGTTGTGAATGTGTAAGACGATGTTGTTGTAACGATATCGAATGACCAAACGTTTTTTGACATAAATCACACGAATATGGTCGTAAACCGGTATGTGTTCGTCGTGCATGAACTTCGAGACCATGAGCTGTTGAAAAATATTTATCACATTCTCGACATCTATAAGCATTGGTTGTGCTACTATTGTCATCAAGTAATTCGGTTTGTTCTTCTTTATCGTTAACTACTGTTGTTTTAGGTGGTAAAAATTCAGATGAGAGTGAAATTTTAATTTTTGAAGATGATGTTGATAATTCACTGTTAGAATCATCATCATCATCACTGGACAATGGTGGTGGTGATATACGAACGGGTGGTGATGGTTTGATGAATGGTGAATGTAGAAATGTGACATTATTTCCGTTATAACATTGAGATTCGAGTATAAATTTTAACTGTTCAGCTGAAAAAATAAGAGAGACAACGTTTGTGTTAGGTTATCCGGTATTCGTTAAATACCTATCAGATAGTAGTGGTTACACTCAATATCGTCCTTTGTTTTGATTACTTTCAAAAAGACATCGTTACAGTTATTTGGAATTATTGATGTCCGTTTTTAAGATAAAATATTTTTGAATCTTTTTCTTAAAGAAAGATAAGTAAATTGTTTTTCTAGTCACGCACTTTTAACCATTTTCTTAGCTCATAATCTTACCACATATATTTGCAAAATCCAAATTTAAAGTTGATATATTGTTTTCTGTATATTTTCTATTTGTTGTTGTTGTTAATAGCATATCAGCTGTACTAAACCAGGGAAACATCGACATTTTTATAAATATTGAAAATAACTCCCAAAAAAATGATCACTATTTGGACATAATTTCTTATTTTATAGATACTATTCTGTTATTGAATAAAGATAGAGAGATTTATGGTGTAGAAAAAAAACGTGTGCACCAGGTCCTAAATATATATATAATCGATTTTGTGTGTTTTGATGTTCACCGCAGATGATCAAGTTCAATTGCTCAAAATTAATTCAAACATTTAAAAAAGTTCAAACATTTAAACGATATGCCTGTCTATTGGATGGTAGAAAAAGAATGAAGAGAGAAGAGAAACGAAAAAGAAAAAAATAAGTAATAATAATATGATTTATGCATCGGAATCTGATGATAAGAACGGAAAATAAAAGGAAAGAAATAACATTATTGGACGAAATGATTTTTTTGTTCAGAAATTTTAACAACATTCATCATTGGTTAAAGAAAGGAAAAAGAAAATTTTTTTCACATTAAACTAAATGATAATGATGATACGTTGATTTTTAATCAAATATAAAAGATATGTGAAACTCATGTTTAACTTTGATAAGTCATCAATATATATATGAGTACTTGAACTGATTAGATGGATGGTTGCTTGACACGGCAGAGTTGTTCATACCATTAAGACATATCTAGAAGATTAGTTTTTCTTCCTTATGAGTTTAAGAAATGGACGTGAAAATAAAAGATCTCGGAAAATTAGCAGAATGGATCTCGGAAGGAAATAAAGACAGAAAAGATCTCGGAAAAATGTCAATTAAGCATTTCTGCATAAAAGATCT